TTACAAGTTAACCCTAACATGCTCATATTTAATATTCTGGCTTTAACAACGCTGATTAAAAGATGTGGAAAAAAAAACTTATAATAACCCTATTGTTTTTTAGACTTAACGTTGATTAAAAGAGGTAGAAAATAAATAATAACCCTATTATTTTTTAGACTTAGACGGACAAGACTGTGAAAATAACTCATTTAATATGTCTTGTGCATCGCACGGGGTACGTACTAGTAATAGAGTGAAAACGGGTGAGTGCCCTTTATTTAGGGAGGGATTGCATTTTATATGCCTGAAAATAAGGTAATAACAGTTCCATCCCAATATCAGGTAAAATTGAAATAGTTTTTGCTTGGTTGGGCAATTTTATAAATAAAAAGATAAGAGGAATATAAGTGTAATAAAAATCATAACTGCTAGTAAGGGGTGGAAATTCCTCTTTTTTTTTTTTTTAAGTTTAAATGACCAGCCCATTAGATAATGAAAGTGGGCCTAATTAATGTGTCTTAGGCTAACTCCGATAAATGATCGATACCCTTTTGGAATAACCACAGCTCTCACAACCTCAACTTTTCAAGTTATTTTTTCTAAAATTAATATTATATTTTTTTATTTGATTAAGCGATTATTTTTTAAATAAATTAATTTGTATTAATGTCTCTTTAAATCGCATAAGCAATTTTTCAATAATTATAACATTATTTAGCTAATTAATTGTTTATGATCACTCAAAATTAAAAAAATTACATTATTTATTACATTTTATGCAATAAATGTAGTGATTCATATGCAATCAAATCATTATGTATTATTTATTTTAACCAATGATCAAATTTTAAAACATAATACGATTATCTAACTTATAATTTTAATATTATATGAATAAATATAACTTATAATACTTTTTGTTTAAAATATAATTTCATTATCTAACTTATAATTTTAATATTATATGCATACAAATAACTTATAATATTTTATTTACATCTGTGCAAATGCACAAGGTTGAATACTAGTATATATAATTGCGGGCAAAGAATTTAATAAAACTCATTTTGTTTTCCCGCCTTTTTCCGTTACGTTGCATTAACAGAGCAAGTATATTGTTTTATTCATTTTATTATATAATTGGTACAATTAACTAATAATAAAAGCACATTAAATGTTACTCTTTCCATAGCTTTTTTCAAACAATTTATTTAAATTTTTTTTTTCAGCTCATTAAGCAAGTTTTTTATTATTAAAGAGTTCATTATTTTTTATGGTATAAGCAAACATTTTAAAATTTCATACACAATTGCTATAAATAATAATTTTAGTATTGTTTTATCTAATTAATTTTTCATAATCAGCCAAGATTGTATTAATATAAAAATTAATACGTATATTAAATAATTTATATTTATATTGTTCATTTTTCCTATCGATAGATTTACAAAATGTGATTTACTCATCAGACATATAACGCATAAAAATTTATTTGTATCTGTACATATGCACAAGATCGAATACTAGTGTATATAATTAATTTAAACATAATAAATATGCATTATAATGAACTAAACATGCATGTATTATTATCTAAATATGAATTATGTATATAATTAATTTATGATTAATTAAATATGTATTTCGTATTAACTAAATATGCATAATGAATGAATTAAATATGTATTATGCATATAATTAATTTAAATATAATAAATGTGCAGCATTAATATATAATATAAAAACTTAAAGGTCATATTGTAGTAATTCAAACTATAAATTAATTATAGACTAACCCCAAAGATCAAATTGCAATAACTTATAAGTTTCTAAAATAGCAATTCAGCCACCTAAATTTATCTAATTTTCAAAATCAAGCCCAACCCCAAATAGATTTCCAAATCTGATTTTCGTCGGCGCTCAATGTCCGCCGATGTCGTCGGGCTACCCGAAGAGTTAAGGCAACCACATTGGGGTGTGTGGAGAATATGACAGCGTCGTTAGACCCGTGTGGAGAAGACGACCACGTGCGTTGTTGGACCCAGGGAGAGAAGACGAACTCAGTAGCAACAGAAATTCGGCCACCTTAGCTAAATCAATGTCGAGGCGATGGTCGGATATGTTGACAGACTAGACCCTCTAGCAGCCGCCGCCTAATTTGAAGGGTGAAACAGCGAGCTGCCACGTCTAGAGCTCGTTGAAAATTTGACAACTAGGAGTCCGACAAGGCGTGTTGGTGGATGAGTTTGTGAGGCGGCGGTGGCAGCTGCCATGGAGTGATTTAGGGTCACCAGAGACTGTTGCCGGCCAAGAGACGGCGGCCAGACCAGATTTTAAACAAAAAGCCAAATGGGCAACCACAAGCTCGGTTCCTACTCGCTAATCAAAATAATGAGAGGCAAACCACAGGTCGGTTGTTCAGCTCAAACCAAATCATGACCACATATCAAAACGACTTTCCTCTTAAACCCGGCAAGTACATTCGAAAGCACCACGAATATTGTACAATAAATACGGGTTTGAATCTTACGTACCTCAAAGAGGTTTAGCCTAGCCATTTCCGAGGGCATTTCTCTCCACTTCGGCAAGGACATTCGGGTACAAAGCAAAGATATTCCGGTAGACATGAGTTTGGATTTTTCGTATGATGAGCTCTGGTGATTAGACTTCATTTTCGTATATCTTCCTATTCCGAGCATTCCAAAAAAAGTACACCGTTGATGCGATCCCGACCTTCTTTGCTTTTGTTCTCCAATCAGAGCCTTTGGCATCCTTCTTAATCCATTTCAATGCACTCTTAAGTGTGGATAATTATCACCTCAATCCTAGCCAATGTCGGATGCCAAACCAAACTTGAGCCGATAGGGGGCAAGTGAAAAAGAGATGATCAATTGTCTCGGAAGCTTCCCCACAAAACACTCAAGTAAGGTCGAGTTCAAAGAAGTCGAGCCTATCCTTGATACGGAGCCTCCCGAGCGTTGCTAGCCAAAGGATGAAGGTGTGTTTAGGGGTGTTGGCGGGCCCCCAAACGACTCCGTTCCAAGGAACGGATGTACCTTTAGCTCGGAAGAACTCATAGACGCATGAGGGTTCCTTGGCTTGGGATTTGGATTCTCAAAGACTTAAAGCGGCCTCGGCGGCTTGCATACTACCCAACTTTTCAACCATTAGATTCCAAATATCCTAGAGGTTTTTGAAAAGGGGCGAATCACTCTTATGGATTGTCCATTCCCAAACGGACTTTTGTCGAAGATAGACATGATGAACCCAACGATACCACAAGGTGTTTTTCCTAGCTTGTATATTCCAAAGTGTACGAGCCAACAAGGTTTGATTCCACGCTTTTAGGTCCCGAAGGCCTAGGCCTCCCTCCGAACATGGAAGAGTGACTCTATGCCAAGCCACAGGCGCCATCTTTGAGCCCCAAAGGAAATGTCGGCAATGTTAGATGATGAGCGTACAGACGGTTGACGGAAGAGGGAAGAAAGACATTCAAAAGCATTCAACCTCTTGGAGGACCGATCTAATGAGCTCCACACGCCCCGCATATGAAAGTGAGGAAGCGTTACACCCATTAATATACTCAGAAATTTGATTAATGAGCGCATCAAATTGCCCAACCATGACTCTTTCCGCCGTGAGAGGGATACCGAGGTACCGAAAAGGCATAGACCCCGGACGAAGGTTAGTGTCGCGAAGAATCTTCAAATGCTCCAAGTTGCCGACCCCCGCCATGTAGATGTTAGACTTTTGAACATTCATTTCCAAGCCCGATTTAGCCCCAAAGTTTCTCAAACATTCCATTAGTATTTGGATAGATCGAGGGTCCCCCCGCGAGAGAAGCATTAGGTCATCCGCAAAGGCTAGGTGGGCGATTCTAAGAAACTCACATTTGGGGTGATAGTTGAAATCCAATCCGCTAGCCGTGCTCCGGTTCATGAGCCTCGAGAGATATTCTAAGCAAATGACAAAGAGATAAGGCGAGAGCGGATCACCTTGTCTCAACCCCTTAGCTCCTTTGAAATGGCCACAAAGCGAGCCATTGATTGAGATGGAGTATGAAGTCGTGGTGACGCACTCCATGATCCAACCGATAAGAGTCTCCGGAAAATCTAGTCCATGAAGAACTTGCCTCAAGAATGTTCAAGAGATAGAGTCAAAGGCCTTGCGAAGGTCAATCTTGATTGTGCACCTCGGGGAGATCGGCTTACGCATATATTTCCGAAGTAGTTGTTGCATGAGGTGAATGTTGTCCGACATGTTCCTACCCCTCACAAAGGCGGCTTGGGTTCCATCAATGATTGTGCCGAGGACGGGGCTCAAGCGTTGGGCAATGATTTTCGAGCAAATTTTGTAAGTGGTATTGCAACAAGCTATCGGTCGGAAATCCGAGACTTGGGTCGCATGTAGTGTGGTTCCATTGCTTGAGGACGCGTCCATTCGTAAAAAATTCTTGCACGGCCGAAATAAGGTCCTTTCCAACTATGTCCCAACTTTTTCGAAAGAACATTGAGGTGTACCCGTCCAGGCCGGGGGCCTTGCTACTCTCGATGTCGTCAAGAGCGTCTTTGATTTCGGATTCAGAGACCGGGGCAAGGAGAGCATGACGGTGCTCTCGGGATACAAGTGGGCCATTTCGGACGATCTCGGGATCAATGTTGACGGTTGGAGTCTCGGTTCCAAAGAGCTTTTCAAAGTGGTTAACAAACTCCTTAGACACCTTGTCATGCGATGTTGTCATACTCCCATCTTCTCTCATATGGAGACTATAAATTTTTTCTTGGAATTTCGTTTGACAATGGCATTGTAGAACCCGGTGCATTTGTCACCCTTGATTTAGAATTGACACTTCGCTTTTTGGAAAAAATGCTTCTCCGCCTTGGCAATATTGATAAATTTAAACCATAGAGTTATTATTACTACTCCTCACCTACAAAATCTGGATAAAGATTAAGAAAGTAAATACAAAATTGGCACAGCACCACATTTTCGAACACTGCAATCACATTTAACTAACATAAATTAGTAACAAAAGTAGCAAGGGTAGCAGCAGCAGCTTTGGTGACAACAAGAACATATATCTTTCAACCTCAAACATTTAGGACAGCATTTACAGCTCGTGCAAGAGCAAGTCGAACAAGACGAACACTTTGGTCTCGAGCAGCAGCTGCATTTGAATAAGTTACAGCATTGACTATTACAGCATGAGAAAAAACAGCTGCATTTGGGCAATCGGCACTCGCCACATGGATCGCCACAAGAACTGCACGTATTGCATTGGCAATGGCAATTTGGCTTCTTCTTCAGACAAGACGGGCAACAACAACAGCAAATCCACGAAACCTTAAAACACGATAAT